AGTCCCTAAGGTGTTCCCCATTACTCAAGGCTCCATCTCTACTTGCTGTATTCCTGAGATGGAGGAATTTCAATATTAACTAAAATATTGGAAATGCAGTTTTAGATGATGATTTGTATGTAATTAATTGTAAATGAAGTCAACTTTGTACGTGTGGCTCAGAGAGGAAATAATAAATGAGGACATGGAATAACAGCCAATCTATAAAAGATTTAAAAAGGTTAAAGGGGGTTCTAACCAGTCATAAATGAACGATCTATTAAAATAGCTGTAAATTATGCATTGTTTCATCCCCCTTTAAAGAAGAATTCTTACCCCCTTTAAAAGCGTATTAAAGCATAACCAATACATTTTTATATGTATAATGCTGATACTAACAGATGAGCAGAAGCAGTATCCTGAGCGCTCAGCACTGTTGGCGGCTTTGTGTTAAACCAAACTAGCTTTCCTTTCTGATCTCTCTTCTCCTTCTGGATTTCCACAATCAGGAGAACGCAACCTCCCGCTAATGGTAAAATGTGTTCTGTGACTGAGGAGCAGCTTTTCTCTGCATAGCTGGCTAGCTACGAAAATAGCAACAGAACATGACCTCTTTAGCACAATGCTTTAGCAGCCTGACTAGCCAGTGCCTAAGCTCAGGGCTGTGTTAGATGGCTTTAGCATCTTTTATGGTAATATCTGCCCAGGAATAGAATAGACAAGCCTATGGTAAAGATGCCCTAATGACTTGTTCCTAATTGAAGCTGTGCTCATTCTAGAGCTGAGCGCTACCCTCTCAGTCTAGTTGTTTGCCTTTTACTTACAAGCATTCAGCTGCCAGTTCCCAGGGGCTGAGGCAGGTTCTGGCCTTGGTAATCTGACACATACTAACCAAATAAGAGAAAGATTTGATTGTAATTCAGAACATCAATGTCTGGCAGGGAGAACGGACCCTTGCTAAAATGTTACCTTTCTTGTTACTCTGACCGCTCTTTTCTGAAAAGGAAGCCAGTGAGCAGAACTGGGGCTTCCCAAATCTCCACATTTGAGTTGGAGCCAGCACAGAAATGGACCAGAGATTTCAAGGCAAGCGCTAGCGATTACAAACAGAAAAGGGTTTTGTCTGATGAAACAAAGTGGATGCCAAAGGAAGGACATCAGGAACTCTCGGGATTGACCAGACCCTGGAGACCCAAGGGGCAGGAATGGCTGACGTGGGAGCAAATGCCATATGCAGATATATCTAATTTCCCTGAAAATAGTCTAATTAAAAAAATTCATCATGATAAATTTAAAATTCAATTAGGGTATAACTAACGGGTGTTCGTATGGTCTGCAGAGTGATATACAAGTCAAGATAATAAGTCCTTGTGGTTAAAGAAGTTAACAATCTAAGAGTCAGTATGACTGTGTACAAACACATATTAGACCAAGTTCACAACAGGGGTACAGAGGCTCTAAAAATGAGGAAAGGACAAGAAAGGTAGAGGATGGAGAAAGTCTTCGACGACAAGGGACTGGAGGCGACTGTCTGCCTGGAGTGTTGGGGGCATTTTAAACTGGCTTGTAAATAATGAATACCCTGCAGACACAGATGACTGGTGTGAGCTGCTAGCTTGGCTCCTCTTCCTTCAGTGATTAGGTTAATAGGGCTTAGGTAGGGGACACCTTCTGCGCCTTGGAGGGAGGAGGGCTGGGTCACAGGAATAAGACTGTCACATTCTACCTCAAAGAGACCTCCAAAATGTACCTCCCTGTGTAGTTGTTGTGGGGGAGAACCTGGAAGTTGAGACCTGGAGGTGGCCTTCCCCTTGATTTCTCCTTTCTGAGAAGGTGTCGCTAGCCCTGCCCACTCTGGGCAAATGCTAGGGCTCTTGGGTAGCTTCCACAAGCACAAAATGTTTCAGGCCACTCACCAAGGACAGCTTTAATACAGGGCTATGTGGCAAAGCTGTTGAACGTGTGATTTAATGACAGCGTTGTGCATTCACTTAGCCATTCTCACCTACACTTCATGCGGGGAAACCGTCCTGAGTCTGCAGCTAGAGGCTGCAGTTGGAAAAGATGCCTGAGTCACTGCCTTGGGTCACAGCGGATTTCTTCTCTTTCAAGTCTGAAGCTAGGACTGACTGTCTTTGCTTTGCTGTGCTTCGCATGCTCCCAGAGCTGCACACAAACTCTGGGGCAGTTCACCCTTGTGCTGGCCAGAGGCTGACAACAGGGGAACAGTGAGAAAGATGGAAGTGGCTACTTTCCATTTGTCTCCTGGCATCCGCAGCCCCATGAAAGCTGCTAAGAATGCATCGGCTCTATGCAACCTAGCAGCCTGGTATTTTCTGGCAGCTTTGGCCATAATGCAAGGAGAAGCAGTGCATAAATGATCTGATGAAATTATTGCTGACCATGAATTTACTGCCCAATTAGTGAGGTGGTGCTATGTAGGGGGTTCACCTAATTGGGACTTTCTTGAGCTGACCTAGGTTTATTTAGCAATTTACAGTGATTTTATTTTTTAATCTCAGGAGACTAGAGGGTAAAATGTTGAGTTCATCAAAGCCCTTGCTCACTGACCTTTGTTTCAACATGCCCTGAGCCTTGTGACAGATCTTTGCGATGAAAGAATGTCTATGTTAGGGGCTTTCAGCATCACATGCTTTTCCCCTCTGCATGCAAGTCAGAGTAAATGTCCATAAACAGGAGGTTTTGAATCACTGGTCTGGAAATACCTTGGACAGGGGCTCTCAACCTATGGGATGTGACCCCTTTGCATATCAAATGATCCTTCCACAGGGGTTGTCTAGATCACCAGAAAACACAGATATTTACATTACAATTCATAATAGTCGCAAAACTGCAGTTATGAAGTATCAACGAAAATACTTTTATGGTTGGGGGTCACCACAACATGAAGAATTGTCCTAAAAGGTCACAGCATTAGGAAGGTTGACTTTGGGGTTCAATGCCCAGGTTGTGTTTCTTGACATCTGCCTATACCATCTTCTAGCACCTCTCTCTAAGATATCTCCCAAATGGAGATTCTCAATGCCTCTCTTCTAGTTTTTCATAAGCATCGATTGCAGCTTACATGGAATCACTGATTTCGACGAGATGTAGGTGATACCAGTAGATTCAAAGAGCTTCACATTCCTCGGGAGAACTCACAGTAGTTCCTCTGATGTTCAGCAGTGTAAGCTTTCAAAGAAAGTAGATACAGAACCAGGGAAAGGTGGAGATCGGCTTTGTTTAAGGTTAAGCACTCAAAAGTTCTGAGGAGCCTCTTCCGATCCCATTTGACTTCTTTCATATTGGAGACCAAAGTCATGAATTCCAGACACTTTGCAGAGCAATTGCCCTGTCTCTTGGCAACTTTGGTCTAGGTCCACTCTCTAAAAATGTCCTCCATTGTTAGGCAGGGAACCAAGTAGTAAAAATGACTGTGAAATGCCTTTCTCATTATAGGTATGATGAAATTTTTTTAAACTAATAAAAAGAGAGAAAAGGTTTACACTTAATAACCTCAACCTCCATGAATTAAATTTACTTTGATTTATTTCTCACCATCAGAATACAAACCGAGCATTAGCTTTTGGCCCACCTTATCCTCACTCTGGATCATGGTGGACAGACCATGTCATAAAATTGTGGCAGAGGGAAGAGAGCCTGTGACCCTTGTACCAAAAGCTTAATTCTTTCCCAAGAAGTAATACACCCTTTCTGTCTTAATCCACTAACCAATATTTGTCCCTGCGTCATACAGATCGGAAGGTACGCGGCAGCATCAAGCACGGGGCTACAGATCTGTGGCTCTGCTTCTTTCCTTGGGTTGGCGCTGTAGAGGAGGGGGAGGCTATGGGCTTCTCACTGCTCACTGCTCCAGTGTACTATCTGTTCACAGGAGGACGGATGGCTGGTACCCAGGCCAGGTCCAGGATCTCCTTGTACTAGCCCTCTAATCATCCTCACTCAAACTGCAGCGGCTAAGAGTGTGCGTGCTTTCCATACACCACATGGTAGGAGTCTGGGAACAGCGGAACTGTATTTCTAGGAACCCGATCCTTGCCATGTTGACTCTATACATCCTTGTAATGACTCTCTTCTTGGCGTCTGTCACTCTGGCCTCTCTTGCTCATCGCTTTGATCCACATGTGCAGGCGTAGCCAGTATTTGAGTTTTCTTCCACAAGCTCTTCAGTACAAGAAAAACTTGACAAAGGGGCTGTTCCTAAGAAAAGCCCAGAAGCCTCCTGGTGCCGCTCTGTGCCCTTCACCCGATTCCACCCTTTATCCGTATGTGGCGTTTGTATAACTTACTTCCTTGCCTTTCTCTCTTCATTATATAAGAATGCTAGAATGAAAAACCCCCAAAATCTTTACGATAATTGCTTGAGTGCCAAGCTCACATTCGACTTTTTTTGCTTTTGTAAACAGAAGATTAAATGCTATTACGGTAGAAATAACTCACTTCAACTTTGTTCCAGTCAAACTGAAGGGGCTTCTTTTTAAGTAGTTAAGTTAGTCTAGACAGAAGGCAGGGTGTGTGCTGGGGAGCTTGGGGGTGGGGTTAATAGCTTGATGGATTTCCCTAAGGTGATACAAACTTAAGGGATATTGAAACCAAGACAGGGAAATGTTTTCTGTGGCTAACCAAGCAAGGAGGCAGGGCATGAAATGAGCAATGACTTATTCATGATCCAGATAGGTGGCCACCCTGCTTTTGAGCTGCAGGGAGGCCAGGCTCAAAGGGCAAGAGCAGTGTACAGGCAGCGCCACTGCGGCTACCTGGAGACTAGGTCACCTGAGTCAGGATTGCTCTTGTGTGGTGATCAATATGCCAGGGTCACGGACGACCCCTACAACTGACAATAGCCCCAGGCTTCTCACCCTATAGGGCACCGGCCCCAACACAGTTGCGGGGTTCCAAGAGCTCACCTGCCTCCCGCCGTCGCCCGGGGCGGGGCTTCCCGCGTCCCCTTTAAGAGGCCGCATCACCCGCCCTGACGTCAGGGTGTCTCTCCGCACAAGCCCGCGTCCCGCGCCGCGCCCCCGCGCCAGTAGCTCCCGCGGCCGCAGGACCAGCGGCGGCCCGGCGACCCCCAGCCACATCTCCGCGCCCGTAGCCGCTCGCCACGCCGCCTCCCGCATCCCATCATGTCGGTGGCAGGGTTGAAGAAGCAGTTCCACAAAGCCACTCAGGTAGGGCACGTGCAGGTGTGCGGGGGTCGGGGTGGCCCCGCGGACGGACGGCCCGCTCCTCTTAGCCCTCCTGGGCCGGGTCGGGTCCCCAAGGGGCGCTACGCCGCGGTCCCGTTCCGTGATTCCGCTCCCCGACCCTACTCTCTGACCGCCGCATCCCTGCTTCCTCTTCCCGCTCCGAGTCCCCTCCATCTCCTCCACCCAGCTTTTAGTCCCCAGCTCCCTGTTCCTGACATCACCGTTCCGGGTCCCTGCCATCCGGGCTCCCCACCCGGGTTCCCAGGCGGTCGGTCCCCGCAGGGCAGCTCTCGGGCGCCGCAGGGAGAGTGCAGAGCAGGTGCCTGGCGGCGCGGCGGGAGATTATGTAAAGTCGCCCTGTTGCGGTGACCTTGCGGTGCAGTGTGCCCCCACTGTCCTGAGATGTCCTGGCTGGAGCGGTGTTCGTGGTCCATGCTGCGGAGGTGCCCGCGCTTTGCGCTCTGGGCTCTGCGCCCTGTGCTCCGGGCCTTCCCCAACCCCTCCTTCTCAGGCCTCCCCAGGCTCCTAGCATGGGAGGCTGTGGCTCCTTCAAGGAGCTTGCATGCATTAACTTTTTCCCTGGAGAACTCCTTGGTGAAGCTCATCTGAGGCCACGACTTGATCAGTGGTGTGCGTGGCTTTCAAGTTTCCCCACGGATTTGACTGCCAAGCCATAACTCCGTTGTTAAAAACTTGAAAATCAGTCTGTTTATTTTGAGCCAATCGTTCGCTAGATGTACCAGATTTTCTGCGTGGGGTGAATAAGATGGGATTAAATACATTTAATCCAGACCCTCATAATTGAAATCTCATTGGGACCATCTGAAGGATTTTACAAAGAGAAAATATACATAAATATTTGATGATGTGACCCATTTCTTACATAACGCGCGAAATTGCAATCCTTTTATTCATTTGGGACCAGTTCAATTTTAAGACATATTTGGCAACAAAAGACTTTATTGATAAACCATTGAATACTTTTGCATAATCTAGCCTTTAAGGTCATTATCGTAAGATAGCTTTGACACTGCGGTTCTGTAATGTCTCATTCCTGAGTGCCTCAGCAGAGGGAATGGAAAGCATCACAGTGAAAAGGTGAGGGCTGCGTTCCTTGAGTTTGAGACACAGATGCCAGTTCAGCCATAAGCACCACCGCTGTCACCACTGACTTCGCCTTCATCAAATTAGTTCTGACAACTTAGGAACGCAGGAAAAAAGCCCTCTTAGGAAAGGGTTTCTAACGATATATTTTTTTTTGTTTTCCCATTAGAATTGTCTGTAATCTTCCTACCAGAAATGTAAAATCAATTACATTGTTGGCTTCTGACAAATTTTTAGTTTTACAGAACCAGTCTGTGCTAGAATGTCCTTGGTGTCACCAACAACATTTTTTAAAAAAAAAAAAACACAAAAATTTTCGGTAGTTGTCATAGTTCTAAATTAGACAGAAGCACTGATTTTACCAACATCAAATGCTTCTTCGACGACAAGGCATTTAGGAGCTTTGGCTTTGGGGAAGGAAAAGCTAAGATTTTTATGCCCCTTCTACTATCTCTAAATTTAAGCAAGCTAGTTTTTGAATTTCCCCTTGCTAAAAATGAGACTAGCATTCATTTCTCAGGGATTCATGGAAGAATGAATTTGCAGAGTATACATGGAAATGGCTTAATAAGTGATAGCTATTAACGTTAAGGGTAATTTTGTTAGTGTCAGAAACCATACCTTCCACTGGTAATAATGAAACACCAGGAAACAGCTGGAGCTAGAAATTATAGATTTGGTAAAAGACACCAAATCTTGTAGATTTGGTAACCTCCTGACTCATTCCAGTTACTGCTGAGGTTCTATGTCGCTCTGAAATGGAAGCCTCTCTCCAGGCGTGGAGGAGTTCTCCTAGGAGTGAACTTGCTGCTTACCACCCTGAGCCCAGATGCACAGTCACTATCATTTTATTCCTCAAATCATTTTATTCCTCTCTGGAAAAAAGCCTTTTGTTTTAAAGGTGAAGCCACACATGCTCTTGGAGCCTAGTCTTTAAAAATGTGAGGCAAAGGTTGCTCTCCTGTGCCTGGATGTGTATTGTAGAGGGTGTGTAAAGCCAGGGTTGGTGTCTGCGTGCTCAGAGGTTTGAGGGAAGCGGTCATGCTCTGCCTTTGCAGCCATCCATTTCCCCCTCCCCCCACCTTAGCTAAGAGGAAGTGTCAGGCCAGAGCTGCTGCTGTTGAGGTCTGCCATGCTTGTCAGTGGAAGGTGACATGTCACCTTTCTGTGGGACTGAGCTTCTTGTTTATGTTATCCAGGGGCAGGTGGGATTTTGTTAATAAAATAATATACCTTCAGCATCAGTACCGCTGGTTTGGGATTCCTGATTGGTTAGCGTGAGTCCTGATAGTTCTCATATCAGAACTGATTATTTCTCCCTGTTGTCAATAGTTACAAGTTTTATTGTGAAAAAGGACAAATGGACAGTATTATTCTGCCTTCAGTGAGTTTTATGTATACTGAGGTTTTATTTTTATGAACAGTAATGTCAGTGTTTCAAACCTTGTTTGAATTTGCAGCAGTCTATGTAAAGATAGCTTTGATTCTCGCTAACACGACACAACTCCTTACTTCTTTCCCTTCACCTCATGTTCATGTGTTTGATGTGGTACATACATGGTATCTGTGCATACTTCATACTGTATGTCATCGCAAGAAAATCTTACAGGGTAAACTGTTTTAGACCGTGGTGTTAGTTTGCTAGGTTTTACGTAACACCAAGCGACCTAAACAACAGGAATGACCTGAGTCACCTGGATGCTGAGGTCTGAGGACAGTGCAGCAGGAAGGCCATGCCCGCTCTGTCAGCACCAGGCAAGCACTGTACCTGGCCTCATTTCCGACTTCTGGGGCTCTACTGACAGTCCAGTTGACTTTATAACTTGTAGATGCATTGCCTCGATCTTGTCTTCATGTGCACATGGTACAACTGTCTGTGTTTGTGCTCAAGTTTCTGGTTTATAAGGGTACCAGCCAGGTTGGATTAGGAGCGCCTTTACTCCAGTATGACCCTATTAGCAATGTCCTTATTTTCATATCAGGTCGCACTGAGTTAACGGAGTCAGACTTGCAACATAAACATTTTTGGAGGATACACTTCAAATAAGAGCAGCCTGTTCTGCATAAAGGAATTTGTTATAGTTTTCTTAACATTGCATTTGATTCAACGTTTAGAGGGACAGTTCTGTCTCTGAGTACTTTATAATTTAGAATTTTCTATTGCATGGACCCAGATATACTTTTTTTTTTAAGTCAGTTTGGTACGACATTGCTATAGTCTGATTTGTCCCCACTTCAAATTCATGTGTTGCAAATTAATTGCTTATAAGATAGTATTAGGAGATGGGACTTAGAAGGTGATTAAGCCTGAGCATGCCACCCTCATGCATGGGATTACTGCTCCTCTAGGTCGGAGAGAGCACCACGCCAGTCTGCCGCAGTGACGGTGTAGCAGCAAGATACCCTCCTCAGACCGAGTCTCCATTAGACAAGGACCTGCTGGTATCCTGATCTTAGATTTGTTTGGACTCACAAGTTGTGTGAAATAAATACTGATGCTGTCTAAGTTCTCAGCGTTTGGTGCTCTGTTATAGTCATCTGCGCCGAGACAAACGTGTGCCCATTACCTTACTCTGCTTTCGGTTGTTGCTACAATAGCAGGTATTGAGTAATTTAGAAAGAGACTTATTTCGGCTCCTGATTCTGCAGGCTGGGAAATCCAGGATTATGTGGCTGCATCTGCCGAGGGCTTGTGATGCTTAACTTGGGGTGGAAGTCAGGAGGGCAGGAGGGTGTATCAGGAAGCAAAATGAAAGGACAGCCTCTCTTTTAAGAGCCGTCTCTCCCAGGACACCCCCAGTTTCTCAAGAGGGGGAATGAATTTATGAGAGAAGAATTTTAAGCCACTCGTGAGGACCTTGTCCCTGTGATCCACTTCCTCCCCCAAGTCCCACTTTTCAGTGCTGCTGTATTGAGGCTAGTGTATGAGCACTTGGGGCATATGCTCAAACCACAGTTCCTGCATACCTGTGCTGCCTGGTTTTCATTTTTAATGATAACCCTCATCTGGGCAGGGTGTGACTTGACACAGTCATATTGTCACACTAGGATATTTCACTTGAGCAACCTTGATTCCACTGGCACTCTGGGCCTTTCTGTTTTAATTCACTTATTCAGGCTTTCATGCCATTTCCCATGCAATATTTTCTGTAAGTCTGCTTATGCATTTCTCGATCTTGGAAGCATTTAACTTATTAAGGTACTTAATTAAATACTCAGCTTTGACTTTATATATTAAAATTATACTTTCTCAATTGCTTGCTTTATGCAGTAAACTCACTGTCACATTGAAAGCATGGATTTGGTTTATTGCTTGACCCAGGGCCCCTATGTCTGTATCCTTTTGGCGAGTACGTCAATAGGCTGTTGTGGCCCTGTTTATTTTGTAAAATTATATGCCAAACATTATGAGTGAATTCTCCTGTTAGGGTGCTTAGCTGGTCAGCAGCTAATACATTCTTAATCTCTGCCTTCCTCCTCAAAGTAAAAATGTAGGGTGAGAAATTGATCATATTTTTAGGACAGAATCCATCCGTCTTCTATAACTGGACTTGACAGTACCTGACCTACATGTAGCCTTCTCTGAACTAATTTTAGGGGCAGCCAAATAAAAGAGACCTTCCAGGAGATGCTAGGATTGAATGACATAAGGCTTGTGTGAATGCTGTGCGTGTATGGTGAGGGGGACTTGAACATCTTTTTGTCCTTTTTTTTCTTTCCTTTTTTAAATAGGTTGGTAATGAGGTCACACTCACTCATACACTTGACATTGGATGGTGGAACGAGTAACTAAATAATTTCCCTTGAGACTGTGGCTCTTCCTCACTGAAGTCTGATTCAGTTATTTTTTTGGGAACATTTTACTTCATGGTGATTCA